CAAGAGAATAATGTAGAAGATCTTCAAACGATGGATGTCCAGGATCTCAGAAACCAACTTTTGACCTTTGCCCAACATCGTTGGCGGGGTTATATAGTCAGAAGCAAACTTTCAAAGTTTTTAACTGAAGGACAAATGGATGCATCCTTTTTTGCTTTAGCACGCACAAAGACTAGACGTTCATGCATAGACGCCTTGGTGAATCCATCAGCACCTAGGGATTCTTCCCTAACGTATTCTTCCGCGGGTAGTCTAAAAATTGCATATGATTTTTTTTAAGATCTCTTTACTTTCTCAAAGGACTTTACAAGACAACAGGAAGATGACTTAGCTATAAAACAATTTTTAATTCCTTTGTCTCAAGCTCTCATAGAAGAGCAAAAAGAAAAACTGGACCGCACCTTAACAAGGGAGGAAATTTGGACAGCGCTGCTACAAATGGAGGAAGACAAAACTCCTGGGATAGATGGTCTACCTAAAGAATTTTGGGAAACCATGTGGAATACCTTATCTTCAGATCTGATGAAATATTATGAAAGAGTCTAGGAAAGGGGTTGGATGAGGGGAATTAGTAGGGGAAGACATTCTTACGCTACCAGATAAGAAAGGCAACAAAACGAACATTAGAAATTATACGCCGATAACGCTTCTACCAGTGGTGTATAAGATGTTATCAAAGGCATTAGCTAATCGTCTCATTCCTGTAATGGAAGATATCATACATCCATCTCAGACTGGGTTCATAAAAGGAAGACACATTCAGGATAACATTCTCCTGATTAACGAAATGGTCAAACTTTCTCGCCAGTCTAAACAAAACGCAGCAATAGTTTTCATAGACTTTGAAAAAACCTATGACCATGTAGGCTGGAAGTTTCTAGATGCTTGTCTATAGAAAATGAATTTTAGACCAAAATTGCGTCAATGGGTAAAGATTTTGCATATAAGTGCTACTACGAGAATACAGGTTAATGGTCTTCTTTCACAACCTTTGCGCCTCCAACGATCGGTAAGGCAAGGGGACCGTTTAGCTCCATTTCTGTTCGTAATAATCAAGGAAGCATTGAGAGCAAATCTTAGGGTTAATCAAAATCTTAAGCGACTTCAGATTTCGGGAATTCTTGACGAGGCCATCCCTATTGCTTCTATGTTTGCAGATGACCTTACAAAACTAATGGAAACCTCAACTACTAATATGGAAGAGATTAAGGCGTTAATGGACCGATTCTCAAGGTTGTCGGATATGATGATCAATTGGGGAAATAAGACTCAGGGTTGGTGTATCCATTCAAACGAGGATCGCCCCCCAGAACACCCGAGAGTGAAGTGGCTACCATTAGAAGCTCTTGTGAGGGTGTTGTGGATGACTCTTACGGCACTAGGCAAACCAATATCGAATGATGATTGAATTTCACGACCGGCGATTGACAAAATGAATCAATGGAAGAATCAACAAACCTCTTTGTTTGGAAGAGCATTGATTATTAATAATGTGGTCTTAGCCTCCATATGGTATAAATCCGCATTATGGGCATTAACTAAGCCAAGTACAAAAGAACTAAAGAAACCGGTGGCGATATTTCTTTGGAGGGGCAACCATGAATTAGAAAACGTAATACCTAAAGTAGCATGGTTTTCCCTTATTCAGCCTAAAATCAGGGGAGGATTATGACTTTTTTATCCGACTCTGCAATGTCAATCGCTAGCACTCCATTAGATAAAGGATCTGATTTTTCCTAACGATAAGCCCTGGCAGCCAATGGCTCTGGAATAAATCCGAAGATTGGCGCCACTAACCACAGAAGACACTCATCCCCTCACGTGGATCGATGATTTATTTTGGAGCATTCCAAGGGCAAAGACACTATCCAGAGAACATGGATTGAGGGGAGCGGCTAGAAGTGACTTACTGCTAGACAACTTATGAGTATCGTTGATAAAAACATGGCGCAGTTTGCCCCTTCCTAACAGGCCATTCCCCTCCTGATATGAGGAGGTCCTAAGACAACCCCTCTTCGGCAACAGATGGATCACAGACCAACATGGTGTTGTATTCAAAAGTTTCGATCCCCCTTGGTCCCTGTGGGTTAAAAAAGGAGTGTTAAGGGTTAAAGATATATGTGATACGAGAAACAAGGATTGAATGACAGAAGAACAATTAATAAGCAGACTCAGGTATGCCCACCAACTATCAAATAACTTGGAACATATCATCTACTCTATTCCCTTAACGTGGGTTCGAACGCTAAAGAAAGGAATCTTCTTCAAAGAGGGTGATTGGGTAGTAGGAACTGATGCGGAACAATGGGAGGTGGGGCAGATCGTTCACACTCACTTAGAAGGGGCTATTGTGAGTATTTGTAAGATGACTAAAGATGGTGTCTTACATCCATCCCATAAGGCTCAGGTAAAATTTATCTCATTCCTGGACCTTTACAGGATTCGAGTACCTTTCTGTTCTTCAACAAAAAGATGGAGAGCATACCACCCTCACTGTCCCATTCCAGATCTCCCCCTGGACCCGGAGGAGTGGATCTGGCAGACAAGTAAGAAAGGGAAACTCTACATTCCATCACAGTCAAGGCCGCTTATCGTCTTCTCAGACCAAGGGTGGACGTTGTGGCAATAGTGCAGGAACGATGGCCAAGACACTTGAATATTCACAGAAATACTCTTCCAAATATCAAACTTTCACCAGTTTAAAACAAAGACCAGCTAAGTTTGCCTCCCTTCAATGGCAGATTATTCACAGGTGCTTGCCGACAAATGACTAGATAATTGATCATTCAAGTTTAGAACAAAGAGGTTTAGCCTCCCCATGGTGTAAGTCTTGTCACTCCACTTTTCCCAATCGAAGAATTTGTGAAACTATTGAACACATCTTTATGCACTGTCCAGGTGCAGTCCTTTATGGCGAAGGTGGGACTGCACTTGGAGGAGTCTGACTAGGATAGATTGGCCATGGGAATGGCGAGCCATTTTGCTGGGTTACTGGGAGCCTATAGACATCCAACTCTCTGAGTTCCAAAGTAATTTGTTTAATATAGGAAGAAAGGCAATATTATGGGCCCTTTGGTATAAACCTTGTGTCCTAACTAGAGAGAACGTGGCCTTGGAAGGGGGGGAAATCTCAGAGATAACTGTGCAATTTATTCAGACTGAAATCAGAGCACAATGGGAAAAAACTAAATCAAGACTCCTGCAACAACATCAGAAGAAGGGCATTCAAGAAGGAATTCAAAAATTTGTTCTGAACTAGCTGGGGAGATGTCAAGGGAAGGGCCTGGGAGAGGTGGAGTGGCCAGGAGGGGAAGGGTTGGAAGAACCTCTCAAGAAGAACTTCCATCTCTACTTTAGGAACTGGTTCACACTACAGCCATGATCTTCCCTTAGATCTCCAAACTGTTTTGCAGATCCCTTTCCCCCTTCTCAGCTTGCTATGGTAGAATTACAGTGGTTTGGTAGTGAGGAGAGGTGAAAGTTAATTGCTTATATTTTTGCAAAAAAAGGGTTTCGGGTGCTAGGGGTAATTGTATATCTGGCGCCCGGCAAGGTGAAGAGGCACATCTCACAGTTTTCATTAAATGAGCAGAAGTTTATCATCATCATCATCATATGAGGGACGCTGAGCCCGGTTCTCAGCAGGTTCTGTTCGGTCACTCCGGGTAGACTGTGAGGACCCCGGCCTCAATCTTCTTATTGGTAATATCAGCCTTGGGCAATGGGAGAAAAAAAAAACAAAGCTTAAAGAATTCAAGCAAAAAGAAGACATCAAACAAGGAATACGAAAGTTTCAACTGGAATGGGGTGTGTCGGACCCGCCGGGATGGCGGTCCGACGGGATGGAGAAGAAGGGTAGACGAAGGAGGAGGTAAAGATGGAGCTGGAAGGGACAACGCAGCTCCGACGCAGACTCCACACGCACGTACTCCAAGATCCGCCAAAGTGAAGAATGACGAAAAACAGACAACTGCTGGGGTATACCCCCAGCGGACTGACTGATTGGACTGGACTGTCGTGGTACCGACAGTGGTACCAGGCAGGACTAGAACAGCACACGGCCTGTGGGGTCAGGCCACGGCCTGGTCCCACAGGCCGAACTAGGCAAATAGCCAAATAGGCCCTGGCTGTAGGCCAGGGTAGATGAAGGCCCGCTGCACGATCCTCAGGCCTGTAATGGATCGCAAGAGCCATAAACACGCTATCCGCAAAAGCAGCGGAACTCTGCAATAAAGAAAGCTGAGAAATCTAGGATGCGGAGCAAGCTCCATGCGGAGTCCATGCGATGGATCCTAAGCTACAAAATGTCAAAAGAAAAACAAATGTCTGGTATACATATCCTAGCTAACAGCAGAAAATGAAATGTAGTATGATACAATCCTAAAGTCCTAGAGGCAGTGACCTCAGTGCTGAAAGGAAAAGAGCAATATGTCACAAGATAATGTCATGTTGCTGAACCACTAAGAGTGGGATGGTCTCAGAGGGGGTGAATGCAGCCTAAGAATCGAAACTCCTAAGGGCAGTCACACATGAAGGTGGGATAGGTCATCAGGCTCAAGGTGGGAGAGTGGTAGCGAAACAAAACCAATGACCCTAACAGATAGACCATCAAGGCATGTAATGCTCGACAAAAGGGTGACACCATGCAGGGTCGACCATGAAAAGGGGAACCTGGAATAGGGTGGAACTATGCCGAACTGGAGGCATGCAATAGCCGGCGCTAGGGTGATGAGGGCAGTGGGTGAGGGAAATATGCACACAACTCACCGACTGGGAGAGGGAGCTAGATCTGGGAGCAAGGAAACCAAGATAACGCTACGGTCCCAATGCCTATGCGATACCAAGGGAGAGCCAAACTCAAAGAGACCCAGCTAAGTGAGAACCATCATGCGACAGAGGCAAGGGAGTATACAGGGTAGGGTGGTGGCATGAAGTAGTCACGTCCAAAGTAGCTGAAGTCGTCGAAGTGGTCGATGACGTCGATGAAGTAGCAGTCGAGTCGATGTCGAAGCAGGGCCGCAAAACGCTGACATCCTGAAGAAGAGTTGATGATGGAGTACCTGATGGTGTGAGTCAGTGGGGAAAGATAGAGGATAAGAGTGTCAGTCATCGTAACGCAAAGGGTGACGATGAGTGCGTTGTGGACGCTTGGAGGCGACCGTCTGCGGCTGAGGAACGGCCTCAGAGGGAGCGGGTTCGTCCTCAGCAATCTCCTCAGCCGAAGGAGGAGGAAGAGGGTCAGTCGACTGAGTAGAAGCAGATGTCTCAGCACGACGAGCACGATCATATGCACGCACCAACATCCTGGCGTGCTGCAAGTGCTCGAGGGGCTCCCAAGTAGCCTCCTCATCAGGGTAGCCCTTCCAACGCACAAGGTACTCGATGCGTGGAGGGGTATCGTCGGTAACTCGGCGTGATACGATGTCGGAAACAACGAACTCCTTGTGGCCGTCCACCATGATAGGTGGAGGGCGCTCATAAGGGCGTCCGGCGAAGCGCTCGGACGGTCTGCGATAAGGATGCAACAAGGAGACGTGGTAAACATCGTGTATGCGAGCCTGTCGAAGGTAATCAGGTAGCTTCACACGGAAGCTGACCGGACTAGCGGCAGTATCAGAACCGACGGCCTGAAGGATGCGGCATGGACCGAAGAAACGACGCCTGAACTTGCGAAGCGTATCTGCTTCGAGCTGTAAGTGGCGAGCGTCGACGAGCACATCCTCACCGACTTTGAATGGATGATCCATTCGTGATCGGTTCGCTCGTGCGGCCATGCGAGTCTGGGAGTCGGCTAAACTCTCGTGTGCGCGCTTCATAATCGATGCCATGTGGGCGATCCAGTCGTCAAGCGCAGGGCAACGAGTGTCTGGGCGCAACCGCGATGGTCGTAGGAAGTCCGCGGGTACGCGAGGGTGGTAGCCGAGGTCGCAATAGAATGGCGACATCCCCGTGGCTGGTGAAACAGCGTGGTTGTACGCAATCTCCGTGTGGGCTAAGTGTAAGTCCCACTGCTGGTCATCCCTAACAAACTTTCGGAGGATATTACCGAGAGTTTTATTGGTGACCTCAGTCGGACCATCCGTCTGAGGGTGGTAAGACGATGAGAAGCGGAGCTGGGATCCATACACCTCGTGTAGGCGTCGCCAGAATGTGCTGGTAAAGCGCGGGTCACGGTAGGAGATGATGCTGTGAGGTAAGCCGTGATCTCTCACGACTCAGTCGAAGACGATATCGACGACCTCACGAGCGCTAATGCGATAGCGGCACGGGACAAAACGTGCACGCTTCGTGAAGCGATTGACGACGACCAAGATAGCATCATGACCGCGCTCAGTGGGTGGGCGGAGGGGACCAATGAAGTCCATCGAGATGGACTGCCAACGACCCTGAGGTATGGGTAGGGGCTGAAGTAACCCATACGGAAGGTGGTTCGCACTGTTCACCTCCTGACACGTGGGACACTCCTGGATGTAGGCTTTGGCAAAGTCCTTGGACTTCGGCCAGACGTATAGGCGGCAAACACGAGCCAACGTCTTGTGGAAACCCATATGACCGGCAACTGCCTGGTCATGGAACTCTGCTACAACCTGGACGCGGAGCTGTCCGGTGGAGGGAACGCAGATACGTGGTTCTAGCTGACCAGATCTGCCATGCCAGTACACAAGGCCGTTCTCCCCGAGGGAGTAGGAAGGAACGGTCTTGCCACTCCGCAGTATCGCGTGGATGACGCGATACTCGGGGCAGTGGCGGTACTGAGTACGATACGCGTCGATCACCGATTGATCAACAGTGGTGATGGAGATGGCAGCAAGGTGGATGGGTTCCTGATTGTGATCAGGACGGCGGGACAAGGCATCGGCGACGCGGTTCGTTTCACCCTTGATGGGCTGAGTGGTGAAACTGAACTCGGATAAGTCACGCCACCAGCGTGCTTGTCGAGGGGAAAGCTTAGGCTTCGTGAGGAAAGCCTGAACAACTGAGTTGTCCATGCGCACCGTGAAGGGCACCCCGTGCAGATAATGACGCCAATGTCGGGTAGCATAAACTACTGTGAGAACCTCACGTTCATCGGCAGTGTAGTTTATCTCGGCAAGCAGTAGCTGACGGGAGTAGAAAGTGATCGGGCAATCCCCAGCATGAGCCTCGATAGTCCCATCCTCCGTGATGGTCGGGGAGTAGGTAACAGGAGGACTGTCAGTGGAGGGAAGTGGTGGGAGGGTAGGCGTCAGTCGAGAAGCAGTGTCAGCAGGAGGGGGAGGGAAAGAAGGAACATGGGGGTAAGGTGAATCTGGAGGAGAGGGAACACCTGAGAAAGGACAGCTCCTACTGCGAAATCTGACGCATCGGTGGTGACGATAAAGGGACGATCAAAATCAGGAAGGCGAAGAACCGGCGCACAGGTCACAGGGGTGTCCAAAACCACGGCGGGTTCTTCCGGAGGAGGGTAGAGGTAAGGACGTAGGAATACCTAGCGTATCCCTGGATAAAATTACTATAGTAGCTGGTGAGGCCTAGGAAACTGCGAAGCTGCTTGGCAGATGTGGGGACGGGCCACTCTGCAATAGCTGTGATCTTCGCGTCGTCCATGTGGAGACCCTGGTCAGACACATGGTGTCCTAGGAAGTCCACTTTGCGCTGGGCAAAGCGACGCTTACTAAGCTTGGCATAGAAACCATGCTTGCGTAAGCGTTGTAGGACATCGCGGAGGTGTTTGAGATGGTCTTCTAAGGTACGACTGTAGACCAGGATGTCGTCCAGGTATACGAGAACGTATTCTTCAAGGATGTCCCTGAAGATGTCGTTCATCGCCGTCTGAGGGGTGGCGGGTGCATTGGTGAGGCCGAATGGCATCATCATGAACTCGTAGTGGCCGAAGCGTGATCGGAAGGCGGTCTTCGGCTGATCCTCTTTGGCAACGCGGATCTGGTGGTAACCGCTACGAAGATCGATCTTCGTGAAGAAGCGGTTGCTTGCCAGACGATCAAACAGCTCATCCGCGCGGGGCATGGGATAACTGTTCTTAACCGTGTAACGGTTAAGGCCACGGTAGTCGATGCAGAGGCGGAGAGTTCCGTCCGCTTTGCGAGCAAAGAGGACAGGTGCACCCCAAGGGGAGTTACTGGGTTTAATGAAACCCAGTCGAAGGAGCTCCTTCAGCTGACGATTGAATTCCGTTGCCTCTGGAATCGAGAGTCGGTACGGTGCCTGATGGTGAACACGATAGTCAGGCACGAGCTGGATAGAATGCTCAACACCGCGCATCGGGGGAATCCCGCTGTATGAGAAATACGGGGGAAAGACTTCGCGGTACTCTTGAATTAGGTCGCGAACGACGGACTCTAAGTCTGCCGTGAACCGTTTGAGTTACTCAGCATCTGCGTCGGCACGAGACGTATGTGTGGACGCGACAATCGACGACTCAGGGGCCTAGGACGTGGAGGGGGTATCCGCAGGCTAACGGGTGGACGTAGAGATGGGAGCCGCGAAGATGGAGGAAGGGTCAGGGGGATCGGGCTCCAGAGATATGAGCTCAACCTCGGGACAGAGTGGATCATAGCGATGACGTTCACTGAGTAGAACGTGACGTCCTCCTGTCGTATGAAGTGAGCAAACTGACGAGGGAAAGTGAACGAGATGTCAGGGTGGGACCCTGAGGGACGAGGGTCCTGGGGAGGTAGGTCGAGAGGGGTGTCGCCCGTGGTTCCAATGAACGGAACACGATGGGTCTGACCACACTTCGTTTTGAGAACGAGTGTCTCGGTCGCCCATTCGGCCTCTGTGCCGCGGAACCAGCGAGACCAGGGAGTGCCAAGGATAAAGTCGTACCCAGTCTCCAGCACGTCGAAGTATGCGGAGGAATGGTAGCGCCTAGGCGTCTGGGTACTATCCGATGGCTGGAGGGTGAGGAAGAAATGGAGGTCAGGGACCGTCTGATTGAAGAAGCGCTGTGTCTTGTTATCTTCGAGGGTAACAGAGATAGGAGAGCGAGACCCGAAGGTAGCTAGGCGAGCTTCCTCAACCACGCGAGGGTGAACGAAGTCTCCCTGCGAGCCAGAGTCCCATAAAGTGCGATACACCCTCGTAGATGTCCCTAGGCGAATAGGGATAATGGAGAGGGTACGATCAGGGTCAGCGAGAAGAGCGAGAAGACGACGCAGGACGTTTACGTGTCTCGTGAGTCGCTCCTGACGAACCTGAAGAATGCTTTAATCCAGGAGACATGACACAACGTCATCGCGAGTCGCCAACTGAGCACTACAACGGGCTGTGCGGATGGCGAGACGCGTCGGAAGTCTCGGAGGAGAAGCGCTAGATGCGGCAGTCTGCTGGGAGGCAGACTGTACCTCGACAGACGATGGGGCGGAGAGAACTGCGTCTGTCGTGTCCTGAGGGTCCTCTGGTGGGGTAGCCAAAGGGGCAAACCGCGACTCGGTGGTCGGGAAGCCGGCTACGTGCGAGGCCTCAGGGGCACAGTGCACCGTAGCTAGGAGGATGGGGCTGGCCGGGCGGGGCTGGGGGGGGACTGAGATCGACGCTGACGAGAGATGTCAGCGTAGTACCGATCGAGGGCGGTGTGGTATGGACACCGTGAGGAGGTGTGTCCATCCTGGCGGCAACGAAGGCAGCCTCGTCGGGCCTCGAGGGCGGCACGCTCCTCGGGGGATAGAGCTCCGCGAGGAGGGACAAAACCCTGCGGGAGGTCTATCTGAGGAACTGTGGGTGTGCAGGCGCCAGCCTGTGTAACCCGACTGCGCGCACGACCCATGGCAGACATGGCCATCTGCAGGCGCTCGGCGATTGGGACAGTGTCGTCATCCAAGTGGTACTAGATGACGTCCCGAAGCTCGATGTCCTCGGGGGCGTCCCCAATGGTAGGATCGAGCTCGGCTGAGGCGTCCTCTCCATACTCGAGAGAACTGTAGTGCCGAGAGAATGGCGCTCCTGGTCGAGCCGGTCGACGAAAACAACCAGCAAACGAGGAGCGGCCTCGGGTGGTACCCCGAGACTAGGAGGTGGCGGCTGACCACGAAGAGGATGGGGCGACGGAGAAGCGACTGCACATCCTCTGGTACTGGCGCGCAGCCTCGTATGCCTGCTCCACGGAAGAGAATGATCGCCTCCATAGCTCTAGGCGGTAGTCAGTCGGCAGGCTGACAAGGAACCGGTCGGTGAGTGTGACCTCCGGTAGGAACGTCTCGTCACAAACAAGGCGAGCGTCCTGAAACACCCGGATGTGACGCTCCAGGTCGGCTGGTACAGAGGACCCGGACCATCTCGTCTGGGTGACGCGGTCTGAGGCGCCAGTGGTGTCATGACGAGCGTCGAAGCGGTCCTGAAGGAAGGCCGCGAAGTTGGCCAGAGTGGGGACCTCACCCACGCGGAGGCGCTGGGTATAATGATCCTCCCACACAGTGGAAGGGCTACCTCACAATTTGGTTGCGAGCACATCGCACCACAACTCCTGACGGGTGGTCGTCATAGAGAGTATACGTGTTGCTATCTGCAACCAGCAAGAGACACAGGATGTGCCATCATACTCGGGAATGTCCGTGGTGCGCACAGGAGGATGGCCACTGTGCTGATGGCGGGGGGAGAAAGATCGAGGCGAGTGCACTGCGGCGGCGTAAGTCGAGGCCGCTGCAGGGGCAGAGGTGGGGGAAGGCTGTGGGCCGTGGCCGCTGGCTGATGGGCCAGCAGACGAGGAGGCAACGATCGTGGGCAACTGTCCCGGAATAGCCAGGTAAGAGGGAAGAGGCTGAGGAGCAGGTCGAGGGAAACGAGCCTGCATCATGGGGACCGAAGGGGTGGTCGAGGAGGAAGGGTGGGCAGCCTGTGATGGGTGAGGCTGTCTCAAAGCGAGAATCTCCGCCTGAGCCTGCGCAATGGTGGCCTGTAAAGTGGCCACTCGCTGGGTGCGAGGGGTCGGAGGTGGAGGGGGCGGAGCGGGTCTCCCAGTGGGAGGAGGAATCCCAGCCTGGGCGGTACCCTGCTGTGGGGGTGGGGGGACGAAGGCAGGAAGAAGAGGGCGGAGCCGTATTGCCGCGACCGGTGCGGGAAGCTGGGAAGCAACACCGGTGTGGGTCGATGAAACTGCTGGGCCAGATGGCGGTACCTGGACCGCAGCACCTACGGCAGTAGTAGAGACGGTAGGGGCGGCCGTGGCCGGAAGAACTGCCGCAACAAACGGGGTGGTCTGAGCGGTAGCAGCACTCGCCACTGCTGCGGGGGAGTGTTGGGCCTAACCCACAGAGGAGGGAGAACCACGATGTCTCCGACTCCGGAGTCGTGGGGAGCCGGACTCGGAGCCGGTAGGGGATGGGGTATGGGAGCGGTGGGGAGAGTGATGAAGAGAGCCCTTGAGGCGGTTAACGTCAAGGGCAAGCGCATTGATTTGCGCTTGCAACGGTCCAAGCGTACTCAGTTGCGCCTGGATCGCTACGAGGGTGGCATGAAGGTCCATCGTGTCCGCATGGGCCTGACCCTGACCCGCTGGCTGAACGCTCACCTGGGAGGTGGACGGCGCCGCGGTGATCTCCTCAAAGGAACTCCCTTCCATGGTCGGAAGGGAAAGGGAGGTAGAGCTCACGGGGCTGTGGGGGAAAAGGGGCCCGCCGGTAAGAGGAAGGGGTCCGCGGGAGCGGAGTGAGTACGTGTGAGTCGGCTCACCTCGGATTTTGAGGGTCGCGCGTGAAACGAAGGCGCCGAACCGCTCGAGGGGGGAGGACCCGTCCGGGTCCAGGGTGCCCGACGGGAGGAGGCGGGGGAGTAGGAGGGGGAGGGGGGGGTTAGGAGGGGGAGAGGAGGGTTAGGAGAACCCTAAACCCTAGAAAACCCTAAGAAAACCCTAACCGGAATTTAGGTGGTTAAGGGAGGGTAGCGGCAACCTAATCAAGAAAAAGATAATATGGAGGGGAGGGGGAGAGAAAATAGAATAAACAATGAAATTTTGAGATAAAAAAAAAAGAAAATAAATTATAAAAATAAAGAAATAAATAAACAAACAAAGTGTGAAAAAAAAGTGATATTTATTTTTTTGGAAATTTCGGCAACATTTTTCCACCCCACATGGGGTCAAAAATGTGCCAAGAGGAAGAAAAGAGCGAGAGGGACACACTAGCTTTCAAAATGCCGCAAATTAAAATTAAAAAAAAAAATTAATGAACAAATAAATAAATAAATAAATAAATAAATAAATAAAGAGGTGGAGGAGAGTGAGGAGAAGCTAAGTTTTTGAAATTTTCAAAAATTTTGGCAGCATTTCGTTACCCCCATGGGATCGAAGTGTGCCATCAAGAAAAAGACCAAGTAGAATAGAAAAATTTTGCCATCACTTCGCTACCCCCAAGGGGTCAAAATGTGTTGAAAAAGACTAAGTATGAAGAAAACAGAAAATTTCGGCAGCACTTCGTTACCCACACGGGGTCAAGATGTGTGCCGAAAGCAAGAATGGCTAAGTCCTAATCAGATTTTAGGGTGCCGCAGAAAATTTCGAATTTTCGGAATAAATAAAATAAATAAAAAATAAATCAGAAAATAAGAAAAAAAGCAGGGAATAAGATGATTCAAATTTTTGGAGGGAAAAGAGAAAATTATAGATCAAAGAGAAAGAGAAAAGAAGAAGAAGAAAAAAAAAAAATCGAAGTTGGGTGGGGGGGGATGGAGAAGTGATAAAGAAAGAGAGAAATAGGTGAGAAGAGAAAGAAAAAGTAAAGTGGGGGATGGGGGAGATGATGGGGTTGTAGTTGGGGGAGGGAAGGAGGAGAGGAGGATGGTAGAATGAGAGAGAAAGATATGGAAAAGGTGGAGAGGAGTAGATGAGATTAGTGGGAGATGGTGAGTGGGAAGGAGAGGAGAGAAAAAGGTTGTGGAAGATGAGTGGGGAGGGAGGTAGGAGTAGAGAACAGTGGTAGGGGGGGGAAGAAAAGATGATTAGATGATGAGGGGGGAGAGAAAAGGGGTTAGGGGAGAAAAGGTTAGTGGTAGGATGGTGATACCGAGCTCTTGAGTGGCCAAGAGCAATCAAAACAACCCCTTGGAAGAAGGGGTTCTTCAACTGCTGCATTAGCTGCCAGCAAGGCCTGAAGATCTGATCAGATCTGCTGTAGAGCAGCCCCCTAGCCAGGGGGGTCTTCACAAAGTGCCACGTGGCACTTTTGGAAATGACCACGGGGAAAGGGAGGAGATGGGCAAGGGAAGGGGAAGGACTCTTTTGCTCATAACTTTCCACCCGTTGGGCAGAATTTAGCAAAAGAGGACTCATTGGAAAGCTTTTTGAAAGGTGCTTCCAATGAGATATGCCGCGGCATCAGCCGCGGCCTGTAGTAATAGCGCTCGTTGAAAAAACGAGCGCGTGCAATTTTGAAGCCAGGGGGGAAAAAAAAGCGCGATCTTTAAATTAGCGTAGCTCCAAAATGACCGCACCAAATTTCGCAATCTATGGCTCTTTGGAAGCGACTCGTCGAGAGATTTCCAAAAAGCCAAAGATCGGAATAAATGAACACCAGGTGCAAAAGTTACGAAGCAAAACGTGCACCGGTGTCGTTACGGGGGTGGAAGTGGCGAGTGTTTCGCTCAAGCCACGTGGCAAGTGATGGAGGGGGTGGGTGGGGGAGGGGAGCAGGGAGAAACGCCTGCTCTGATACCAGTGTGCCGGACCCGCCGGGATGGCGGTCCGACAGGATGAAGAAGAAGGGTAGACGAAGGAGGAGGTAGAGATGGAGCTGGAAGGGACARCGCARCTCCGACGCAGACTCCACACGCACGTACTCCAAGATCCGCCAAAGTGAAGAATGACGAAAAACAGACAACTGCTGGGGTATACCCCCAGCGGACTGACTGACTGGACTGGCCTGGCCTGGTACCGACAGTGGTACCGGGCAGGATTAGAATAGCACACGGCCTGTGGGGTCAGGCCACGGCCTGGTCCCACAGGCCGAAATGGGCAAATAGCCAAATAGGCCCTGGCTGTAGGCCAGGGCAGATGAAGGCCCGCTGCACTAGGGGATGCAGTTGGTGAGAAACTTGGGAAATAATATGGCTAGGGGAGGAAGAGGAGAAGGGGAAGATCACACGGGATTACCTGATTACCTTTCAGAATTGGTTAGACATCCAACCAGGGGCCTATTCGAGAGCACCAGAACTATTTGCGGATCTTTTCCCACCTGCGCCGTTAGCACTGGTGGATCTTCAATGGTTTGGAGGAGGCGGGGAGATGACATAGGATTAGGTTGAATAGGGTCCTATTAGAGGGGGGCTAGGAGTAATTTTTCCCATCAGGCGGTCAGAATATGAACTTAAGAGGTTTCCCCATGACTAGTAGTACTCGTTCTTCAAAAGATAGTAGTATGGTTTAGGCCTTAGTATTGGATTGAAAAGATAGAAAGAAAGGGATGCTGGACCCGGTTTCCAGGATAGGGCTATCCTCTGCTTTATTTTCAGGATGTAAGGGACGCTGGACCCGGTTTCCAGCAGGTGCAGCTCCCCACCAATAGATGGAGCATTTTTCAAAAAAAAAAAAAAAAAAAAAAAAGATGGACCGTGTGGCTGTGCAGCATTTGTGTTCGACATGGCATGACCAATTTCATGTCAATGCGGTTGGGACATATGCAAATCTCTAAAGACGTGAGCGAGTCTGAATGGAACAGCAGTAATTTGGGAATTTTGGGACGAAGTTAACATTAGGAAAAAATATTCTGACAATCTGCAAAAATAAGTGTTATATTTTGATTGGTTGACCGAGTGAGCCAACAAAGTTGAAAGAAACTGCAAGTGATCAGTATAGCAATGTAGAGGAAAATTGTGATTCCCTCCATTTGCTTCCATCTGAAGATTCTCTGAAGCTTCCCTGAAGAGTCTGAACCCATCATGGTTCCCTTTGTACAACAAGCTGTACACAGAGAAACTTAAACTTGTCATCTATAAGAGACTATTGCTCCTTGTTAGTTGGTACGCTGTACATAGCCGTCCAATTCCTTGGACAAGATAGTCAAAAAAGGACAGTTCTCTTCCTTGTAAAATGACACATTTAGACCACCATGCCATCATCTTCCATCACCTCACTTTCCTTGCATGTGAAAAGACTGACAGTGCAGGTAATACAGGGCTTCAAATCTGGCATTCCATCCCCGCGAATCTGCATTTTCGTGAAAAATTGAGTTTTTTTCCGTTTCGGAATTCATACTTGAGTGACCTCAAGAGGTCATGTGGCCTGTCCGGTGAGGGCCATATTTTGGGATGAGTGGTAGTCTCATGGATGATCACTCATCCCAAAAAATGGCCCTTACCGGACAGGCAAAACAACCTCTTCAGGTCACTCGAGTGCAAATTGCGAAATGGGAGTAAACTCAATTCTAAAGAAAAAGCAGTTCCGGACATTGAAACTCAATTCTTGTATAAAATGGCTCGTGGTTGCACCAACATGCCATCATATTCCATCACCTCACTTTAGAAATTCCGGCGTGAGAGAAGTCTGAAAGTGCAGGTAATATGGGATGTCAATTCTGCCATTGCACCCCTGCAAGTGCCGCAACCCCACGTCCTAACGGGACTTCCACCAAATCCGATGAGTCCTGGGGCTCTGGAACTGCAGCTCAATTCTCGTCAAATCGCATGCCCTTCCATCTTCAAGTGTTTGTGAAATTTACGACTGCTATTGTCCACGAGACAGACTGCCGACGAGATGACCACAAACCAAATGCCAGTGGGATGTCCAATGCCGCAGAAAGGAACGGCGACATCATTTCCTCCTCCCTCTCCTGCCCCTGGCTACCATGCCTCCCCCCCCCTCTACACGCACAAACAAAGGAAGAAGAAAGTAGGAGGTAAGCAATGCCCAGCAATCGAATAGCCAGCGAACCAATTCCATCAAAGATGGCTAGGAACCACAGAAACAAGCTTCCAGCTTGTGGCTCAATCCTGTAGTTTCCCAGCACTGGTCATTCAGGGCCGTGCGACATGAAAATCTCATCGCCATTCTGTGGTCATGTCCAAAACTGCTAAAAACTACTCCATTAGGCTGCTAGTGGAACTTGGTCCCCCTGATGACTTCGTTGGTACATAATTTGTTGAGACTTGTTCTTAAGCCACCAGTACACCACATATCGGCCCGCGGGTGTCAGCGTGAACCCCGCACCACTTCGGAGGCCGCCGATTTTTTTTTTCAACAGCGGGCCTGGCCGCGCGACACCTCCAAGTTTTGCTTGTGGCAACAAAAACTTTCTCCAAGGATGGGGCCGTGTACTAGCGGTCTAAGCCACCACGGTCCACCAGTTCCTGAGAGACCGCCTAGCAAGTCTTACAGGCATGCACCTGCCTGACTATGGCTGGTTCAATTCGCACTCAATGGGAAAAAGTCAGCGGGTGAAAATTGTCTGCCGTGGACTGGCTGTTTAATTAATCTCACCAATCTGAAGTTATACTTCCTGTGGCCGCATTTGACAACTTACAATCCTGCTGAAGGCGCTGGCTGCACCTCTAAATCATGCACATCATTTCACATGCCGCCAATGCATACTGCTCGTCCGGGCCCGTTCAAAAACCACGATGTTCCTGATTGTTGCACCATGGACCATACGTCTGCTGTTTTTTTTTGCCACTCCAGGGCGTACCAAAGCCCATACGGCTGCAGAGAGTTCTGAAGAGGAATGGCAAGAAGGACGATATCAAGGATAGGAATAAGATGTGTCTAGCCATTGTCCCAAGGGAATTTCAATAGTTGGAACTTGGATCTGATGGCGGTTGGCACGACTTTCCTGCATGATCTGGTTTTGTTCATCTGCGACTTTGAGTGGCCCTGCCTGACCGCTATCTGCAAGTACAGTGGCATTTGGCGACGTACTCACACTGCTATCTTCACCCGAATAAGACACCTGGTCATTGTCGCTATACTCAGAGTCTCAGACTGAAGCCATAATGACTGGCTGTTCTATTTGGGTGAAGACGGTAGGACCTTTTTAACTGAACTGAAGGCTGGAAGTAATTGCTGTCCAATACACCCAGCGGTCCGTAATTGCAATGAGCTACATCCAGGGGAGTCCTTGTGTGAGTCATCTCTCAGACTGATGCTTCCGGGCAAAGGAGGCAAGAATGGCGTGTCTATTGCCCCGAAATTTGTGTAAAAGGGCATTTTCTGGATGTATTTTTGTGGTTTTCCTAAGAAGAGGTGTAACAGTTAATGCCTGAGATCAGAGGTTGCTGAATTCCCCACCACCTTTCCAGCGGTCCATCCGTATCCTAGCCTCGTGAAGAGTCCAAAGAGGGGAGGAGGACAACTTCATTGTTGGCGATGAGGACTAGAGGCGCTTGAGAAAGTTGCCTGCATGGCTTTCCTTCGACTTGATGGGTGGAATGAAGGTTTGATACTGCAAAGGTAGCATTCGGCTTAGGCAAACCGGTCATACTGATCCCAAATTATTAATCGAGTTTCGCCTAGCAAGTTTCATGGGGACAGAAGAAACGGAGGGGTAGAGCAGAGAGGAGAGGAGGGAAATAATGTTGTGCAGGCTTCCCTTATCTTGTAAGTTGTCCATTCGCTGAAGCCCATATTGAATCTGCCCTTGGCTGCTGAACAGGATGCAGGTCTGGACAGAGGAGGAGGTGAATGTTGCAGATGATATGGAGGCTTGTGAAGTTGTGATCCTTCCTGGAGACTGACAAGTCGTCATAATATGTCTTCTGGCATAAGCCTGCATTACCAGGTCTACAGCTAACTGTTGCCACCTGTCTTTTTCTTTTTCTTATCCCGCCGCCGGTATGTGCTCTGTCACTCTGTGGTCCCACATTTGGGAGCTTGGGGTCCAGCACCCGCACTTTTCACATGGCCACGACATGTGTCCTATCGCAGTCCAATTCTCACTTAGCGTCCGATTTTGCCCATGACTAGGGCATGGCAGCTCTTGGGAGCTGCCATCATTGTCCACAACTGTATTCCAGACGGTCACCCATCCTTGTACACTTCCCGTCGCCTACCGTCTTCTATCATTATAGCTGTATTTAGACTGAAAGATATACCCCAGACACAGGTCAAAGATACCCCAGATACAGCTATAATGACCGTTCGTTGTATTAGGGCGATGAATGTAGTACGCTTCTGGCCGCCTACCGCGGTGCTTTGGCTTCAAAGGCCTGATCAGATTGGGAATCAGAGTGAGACATAGTCAGATCACATCCCCTGAATAGAATCCAGTATTTCACATGTCTTTTCCTGCAGTGCATAGATGGATAATGGACAACATGATGGGCGAGAAGTCAAAAGCTTCAAGTTTCTTCACCAAAGATTGTGCAATGCTTCCAGCCTCTGCCAACTTATGCTCTAGAGAAAGGCATCTGCTACACTGGTGGAGCTGAACTACTCCCTCTGGGTCATGGCGCAGCTGCGGCACGTTATCCGCATTGACAGAGGTCTTGTTCTCAGACCTTGAGGTGACCAATCTCAGGGTCTCCAGTATGGATACCGGCGAGGTTGTTCGACCCGACTCCGGCAGCGAACCGGATGTGGAATCTACAGTCGCAAGCGCAGCATCTTTCCTGGTCTTGTTCCCGAACCTGCCTCGTTCCTGGTCCCGTTCATGGTCCCGGGCTGTTGCCCTCCCCCGATCGCAGTCCCGCACCCATGCCGTTATCCCGAGCACGCCAGTGGCCTCCTGAGAACACACGAACCAGTCCTCTGGACACCGATTACTCCCGACAGGGCATCTGTGCAATTTGACAACATCTGGGTCCCTTAGCTTCATTTCGCACCTCAGAAACTCTTTCTGGCTGGCAAAGTCTGACTTATCTCCTCCGTTTACAACCTCCTGCTTGGCAATGCCCCCTTGGGCACCTGTTGCTAAGTACAAGGACATTGATGCCAACACTTGCCTCAAGTTTTGAACATCCTCCATCAAGCTCTCCTTTCTCGTGAGCAGCTCTGTCTTTATGGCCGCCAAGAAATTGATAATTGCCATAGATACATTGGAGTCCATCTCTCGGATTCCCATGCCGAGGCCACCGCTTTCACTGGTGCTTGTCTCTGAGCCTTCTGTCCCTTCTCCCACCAGTCCACCATCAAGACCACCCCTTTCATGCCCAACAGTACCCACTTCCGAGGGGTCTACCTTGCCGTCTATTTCTGCACTACCATCGCTATCCCAAGTTCCTGTCTGCTCTCCTATATCATCATCTGCTACACCCACTCTGTCACTGGCTTCGCCGCATCCTCCAGGCTCTGCCTCTAGTAGTCTGCTCGGTTGTTCATCACCACTACCCATCTGTTCGATGCAGCTTAGTGCGAATTCTGTCTCTGTTCTGCTCACTCCATCATCACGACTCCTCTGCGGAATCTGCGCCCTACACCTCTCAGACTGAGTGATTCCTGTGCCGTCAACGACCACATTCCCGTCCTCTAGATCTGTTGTTATCTCAGCCTGAGTAGGTACGTTCTCCTCCCCTCCTCCCCTCATTCCTTCCTCGCCACCTCCTTCATGAATGTGGTTTTCCGATCTTCTCGTCTTCCTTGCTGCCACGTCGCAATCTCCTTCAAAGCTCGCTGCGGCACTTGCCACAGGACAAGTAGGTGCAGTCTCCACCTCACTCGTCACCATGCCATCCTCCTCTCCATCCCTTTCATGAATGCCGCTCTCTAACATTCCCGTCATCTTCACTGATGCTATTTCCACACCTGCTAAGTCTGTGGCACCACTTGCCACAGGAAAAGTAGGTGCATTTTCTCCACCTTTATTCCTCTTCAATGTCTTCACGCCGTCCTCCTCATCACGCCTTTCATGAATGCCACTGTCCAACCTTTCCTTCTTCTGTGCTACTGTGTTGCCATCTCCCTCTTCCGAGTCTGGTCCGGCACTTGTCCGTGTTGTCACAGAAGGACAAGCAGGTGGATACTCTCTTTTTAGCCTCTTCCTCCCATCCTTCTGGTATCCCTTTTCATGAATGCTGCTCTCCCAGGATGCTATCCTCCCTACGATTACCCTGTCTTCTTTGAAATGTGTTGCAGCACTTGTCACAAGCCTAGTTTCCTGCTCTCCCTCTGCTCTGGTGATCCCGTCTCCCCTGTTCGGCCATTCCTGAAGGGCACCACACTCACACTCTAACACTTCTGTCTCCTCGACGATCACCATCTTTTTGTCATAAGGAAGAAGATGGTAGCTGCGTGCTTTACCGTCGCCGTCGCCGTCTTCATGCCGTAAGCACGAAGATGGTACTGAGTTAACTGCAGCACTTTCCGTAAGGTTACCTGCGTGCTCTTCCGCTCTTTTTCTCACTCTGCTGCCAGCACTCCCTTCAGGGAGGTGGGTGTCCGATGCATCATTCGTCTCTACTTCCAATTCCGTGACAGTACTTGCCCAATACTCGCTCTCTTCTCTGCAGATAGCATCATCACTACTACATTCATTTACGCACCTCTCTGAGGCTGCTGCCTTGTCCGCGTGGTTATTGTTGCTGTCACCTAAATCCCTTACAGAATGTGCCAAGGAGCTGCTACATGTATCCTTTTCCTCCCTGCTATCCATTCCAATGCCTCCATTCTCCACCTCTCCTTTTCCGTGCTCTCCACCACCTCCACAGTAACTGCGTTGGGAGTGGGGACTGGTGCTGCTGTCCAAGGTTTGCGTCGTACGTAGCGCTGCTACCTTGACCTTGTCTTCTAGCTCGGTCGTTGCAGATCTGGCATGTGTACGTAAAAGCTCTCTCTCTCTTCTTCTCAGGCCCTCCCGAGTACGACAGGTCTCCCCCGACATCGCTCCTGTCGGTACCAGGTTCTTGGTTTCTAAGCTGAGTGCGACACCGGAGTGCACCTGAGTGCGAGCTTGCTCTCTCCTTCTCCTCCTCAGCAAAGCTTCACGCAAAGTCTTTCCCAGACTCTCAACCTTTTCCCCAAGGACCTGGCGTACTCTCTTCAGGCCTTGCATCTTTTGTGCCAACCTCACCCTCTCCTTCTGCAGGTCCGTCATTCTCTCCTCCAACATAAGGCCAACATCCTGACCGTTAGATTTCCTTTGCATAACCTCTGCCAGAGCAACGGTTACCTCCTTCTGAGGGCCAATTGAGGGTTCACAGCAGGTTGTCGACATCTTAGACAACCACAGGGAGGAGTACAATGAGCAGTTGGACGGCAGTGCTCGCCTAGGTTCAGCTTGCAGGAATGCCTCTACCCCTGCAGTTGTTGCTGTCTTCCCCGAGATTCCCAAACAGGCAGTGGCTGCAACGGCAGTGGAAGGAGCTTGGCAGTCGCCCGATTCACAAACACAGGGGTCACAGCAGTGGGCTGCTGATCGACAAACACAGGGTCCAGAGGTAGGCAAACCTGCATCGGCTCTAACTGCAGCAGGCGTCTCTCTATTTTTTCCATGGCAAGGAAGTTCTTCATCCTTCTTGGATTGGCACACTTTCGCGTAGCTATCACCATCCAACCGTTTTTCGAAGGCGTCGTTGACTTGAAGAAGTCGACCATCTGAGGGCGACGATTCAACAGCGAGGGTACACTCGGTAGTTGATGCTCTGCTAAAGGTTTGTGGCGACTCAACGCTCCCGACCTCATGATGGTTTTTTTCTCGACCTGACGACGCATTAATCACAACCTCAGGAATTGAATTTCCAACCTTTACATAGTCTTCATTCTTCCCGTCTTCACTATCTTCGCAGTCTCCATTTTTCCCGTCTTCACTATCTTGGCTCTCCTGTTCGTCCTTTTCCACCTGACACTTCTTCACCTCAGAAGCCTCCACTTCCTCTTCCTCTTCCTCCTCTTCTTCCTCTTCCTCCTCCTCTTCCTCCTCCTCCTCCTCCTCCTCCTCCTCCTCTTCCTCTTCCTCCTCCTCCTCGTCCTCTTCCTCCTCCTCCTCCTCCTCTTCCTCCTCCACCTCCTCGTATTCCTCCTCTTCCTCCTCCTCATCCTCTTCCTCGTCACCACCATCATCACCATCATCATCATCATCATTGTCGCTATCATCGTTGTCGTACCCATTGTCATCGTCTTCGTCCTGGTTATGTCTATTTTTAGCTGTCGTCCTGTATATGTCTATCTGGGTCCTCAGAGGGTGAGCTTTCCTTTCTCGATATCCCAAATCCGACCTCTCGTGCCCGTGTCCCACTGCGCTGGCTTTCCCTTCCTCGGCACTCCTTGACCGTTCCTTACCCTTATCCTCCTCAAGTCCTTGTCTCCCCACTTTTACCTGACTTGGCTCTTCGTGACGACAAAGAGTCAGAGAAGGCTGCTGCTTCTGGTGCTGCCGCCACCGGTCATGGTGATCAGCATGCAGCCCGTTGGGTACATCATCGCCTTGGCTAGAAGATGGGAATCGAACCGTCGGCTGGTGGCTATGGTCTACGCCTATTGCCTTTCGGGGTCCCACCCCATTTTCCCCCAATCTGTTGTCCTCAGTGGCACTGTTGGACGATCCACCAGCAGCATATGGCTCAGCCTTTAGACGGTTGGTAAAAGCGTATTGGCCTTCCTTTCGCCTCTGCAGTTGTCTTTGCCTTAGGAGACTATTGACGGGGGCGGCAATGCCCTTCGTTGGAAGTCCTAAGGCATCCCCAGTTCTGCTGTTGAGGGCCCCTCTTGGATCAACCGCAAACAGACGACTGCTGTAAGTGAAGGGTTGCCTTGGACTCTTCTTTACTTCACTGCTGGACATGTTATTCGTTCGTCTTTCATTGCGTCGGCCTTCTTTCGGCGTTCTGAATCCCGCCGTTGAATTGAACAATCTCTTACTAGAAATACTGCTGTGTATCTGATTCGCTGACTTAGACATGCTAAGGCTATTCGCTGATTTAGAGATACTAAGGCTAAGGATATTGCCGGCGCCATGGGCATTGCCACTGCTATTGCTATTGCTATTGCTATTGCTATTGCTATTGGTATTGCTATTGCTCTGGGTGCGATTGCGATGCACCGCGCTATGACTATGGGCGCTGCTGTAGCTGACAGTGGAGCTATTGCTGTTGGACGTGGTCAAGATCCGGTCGGCGGAAGAGTTAGGAGGATTAGCCAAGATACTTCCACGTGGTCCCCAGGGCCTTGAAGTTCGCTTCAAGTCCATCTTATCCTCTTTCCAAATACTTCCAGAACTGCTAGTGATGCGGTTGTCTATTATGCGAGTCGAGGCCAACGACCTTGCCCCTCCACCTGCAATTGCTCCTGCTCCTCCTCCTCCGCCTCGTTCTCCTCCTCCTCCTGCTCCTCCTACTCCTCTTCCTCCTCCTCTTGCAGAAATGAGGTGGTGGGTGCCGGAAGATGCATCCCATTGACCCTCCTTCCCGACGCCTATCTCGCCACGTCGGCTCCAGCCTGGGACCGCGATCCCGTTCTCAGCATGATTCTTAACAAGCTGGCTTCCATGTTCGACCTTGGCATTCAAGTCGCCCTTTGATCGCGATCCCTTTTGCGACGGGGGTTCAAGCACTTCTGCTGGTCTTCTCTGCTTGCCATCTTCTTTGCTCTGATCGCGGCCCACCCTTAGACCTGGAGTCGGGACCTGAGACATGCTTCCAGATCTCCGTCTTTCTAAGATTTCACCCTCCGGACAGGAGGCATTGTCATCATGATCATGTGTCCAGCCCTCTAGCGACTTCCTGGGGAGCTTGCCTGCGCCGACTGCGGCACCGCCTGCAGCTGGACTTGCCTGGGGACCGTTCTCAGCCGGAATTCTTGTTGTCGTCATCGCACCACTCGTTGTAAATCGAGCTGCCGTTTGAGTTGCCAGTTGAACGCTTGCCAATGCGGAAGAAGAAGTGGACCTGTGTTTGCTGTCGCCGGGCTCGCTGTGCATCATCCTAGTATCCCCAGTGCGCCGTCTCTCCTCTTTCTGCGACTCCTTACCCTCTCCTTTCTCCCTAGTTACTTCAGTAAATGGAGCGCCGCGATGGTTCGCCTGCCCCGTCTGCCCTGCAGCGGCAACTGCAGGGCCTCTTACATCGACATGAGGGCCGTTTCTCCCTGCCGCAAAGATCTTGCTAATACCCTTACTTAACGGCGACCCCGACCGTCGAGTCCTCTGAGGCAAGTCTCTCCAACCCCCCCGAGCGCCGTTCCGAGCAGACGCCATTCTCAACAAAAGAGAAACCGGCCCCACCTGTTAACCTCTCCTGCCCAGCATCCCTGCGCCCACCCGGCTCATTGACTACAGGAGCACGGGCCAGGGGGATCCATTTGTCAGCTCGACGGAGTTTGCTCTGTTGCGAACACCTTTCCTCTTCCAGTGCTCTCTCTCTCTCTCGCTCGTTCGCTCGCTCGCGCGCGGGCGCGCGCGCGCACACACACACACACCAACAACAACACTATGAGCAGTTACTGATGCCTGTGCGCGCATTCACATCGACGCAGAACACGCACAAACACACACATTAGGAATTAACGAGGGGGGGGGGGGCAGGGGAGGAGAGAAGGGGAAGAGGGGGGGGGGGGGGGGCCACACAGAGAGAGAGAGAGAGAGAGAGAGAGAGAGAGAGAGAGAGAGAGAGAGAGAGAGAGAGAGAGAGAGAGAGAGAGAGAGTTTACATGTACTGAGAATCAGGAACAGCTCCCGCTCGGTTTGTGTGGAGCCCTTCTCAGTAAGCTCGTACAATGTCATGCATCTAAATTCATGCTTGCCTTGCTTACCTCCCTGATGCCTGGACAGTTTACTCGGGGGAAGCTCGTAGCGCATCCTCTATGCCAATTTTGTTTTTGCGGACAAGTGGCTACGGTGCTTAGCGGTAACGTGATCCTGGAACATACGCCGCTAACGGGTGGCTGATAACATGGACGCTGCAAGCGGCGAGACTGCGTGACTGCATGCCTCGGTACCTGTGCGGCGTGGTGCCTGCATGCCTGCCTGCCTGCCTGCCTGCCTGCCTGTGCACCTGCATCCCTGTGTGCCTGCGTGCCTGAGGGCCGGCCTGCCTGCCTGTGCACCTGCATGCCTGTGTCCCTGCGTGCCTGCCTGTCCGTGTACCTGCATGCCTGTGTTCCTCCGTGTTTGCGTGCCCTCCTTCCCGTAGTAGATCTGATGGCCAGATCAGTTGACAGTCGTGCTGAGACTTGCGTGTTACGCGTGTTACCGCCGTGGATTAAGCTGCGGCTTCAAGTGCTTTCTGAACTCTGGTCGATGGACGTCTTCGAACTTGGCAGCTTTGGTTCGAGCGGCACCGGTAGTTATGTGAAGAGAGAGAGAGAGGGTTCTACTGGAAAACTGGCAAACTCGTTCAGAGGGGGCGGGCGGGCGGGGGGGGGGGGGGGGGGGGGGGGGGGGGGGGGGGGGGGGGGGGGGGAGGGGAGAGGGAGAGAGAGAGAGACAAGGGTGGTGCCTGTCTCATCATTCGTCAGTTCTCCCGTGCAGAAAGAAACCCAATTCGTCTGACCTCACATGCAACACGTAAGGACAACGGGCAAATAGGAGCAGACTCGGACGAATAGCAACAAAAAAAAGTCGTAGCTCATAGCTGTACGTCATCACAAGGATAACTGAACAGAAGGAGTCGAGATAAGAAAATAAATAGTCATAGAATAGAGAGCGCATAGAAAGTCGTAGAGTCAGAAACCAGATTGGGATGCAAGATCTTATTCCGCGCGCCTGACCTGCTTCGTCGCTGCGTCGCACCCTGGCGGCCCTCTCAGCAAGATGCCACTGACCTGGGTTCCTCATTTTTGGCCGTCGATTCGCCTTATCCGGAATCAGAAACTAACACCACTAGACCGAGTAAGGGGGACCCCTTTTTCCTTCTGACATATGTGGTTATCTGTTTGTTGGGATTTGAGCACGGTCTGTATTTCAGCAGTTCGTGGGTGCACCAACTGAGTTAGGACCATCGGTCCTTCGGGACATCCATTAAAATTGGAACGGTACAGAGAAGATTCGCATGGCCCATGAGCAAGGATGACTAGCATCAATGGAGAAATGGAGAAAGGACCATTGTCTACCGCGTGGGGAACGCAGCCCTAAGGTAGCCAAATCAGTGAGACTAAGAGCTAACACAAGAGAGAGAGAGAGAGAGAGAGAGAGAGAGAGAGAGAGAGTTTTGTTCCATTTATTGTTATGAGTGTGAGAGAGA